GTTAATAATTATTCTCTCTTTGAATAATTTCCTTCCCCTTTGATTCTTTTAAGTTGTCTTTATACATTCCAAGACTCATACTGCCCTTTCATTCCTTAGGAGAAGAAACTTTGTTTTCTCCCCTTTGCCTTTTAGTAAACATGACCCTAGCTGTCATCCTTTCCTGATCATTTCCAAATCAGCAGTGGTTGCTGTAAGTGATGGCTGGGAGACAAGATGCCAAGTGCAGTGGCTATATTTAAAGCATTTGCACCTGTTGTTAACTGGCAATGACCAATCTCCCGCCCACGGTTTCCTCCACTCCCTGCTACTCACCAACTGCATTCCATAGTCCAGAATGCTTATGTGCTCTTCTGTAAATAAGTCCTGATAAAGACCCTACACATTATATCAAAACTGAGAAGTATGCCATATTCAGAGTCAATTAGTTTAATTCCAGAGGAGCTAAGAAATTTGAGCCAAATCCAGCCTAATATGAAGATCTGATATTGAAATAGGCAGAGTCATATGGCTAGGTATGACTGTCATGCTTTGTGATGTTCTTTTAAATAGTATTAATTGGAGTCTCCTCAAATGTGTTGTGCAAAAGAGACAATCCAAGCAGTAACTGACATCTTCTAGAGTTAGCTTCAATTAATGAGCCACATTGGCAACTGTAACCTGGAAGAGTTTTGTAGGAGAAAGATAATAATGAATGATTCTGATGCTGAAACTTCCTGGAATTGGGAGCTAAGGGTTCTATGGCCCTGTCAGTCAAATCAGCCTGGTGAAACAGGTCTAACAATCATGGCATATGACGGATAACACAGTCAGACCAGCTGAGGTCCAGTATCAATCAACATGGAAGAAAGCTAAACAACAGATTAGGAGAGCATGCAAAAAGGAGTGTTTAATTTAATCTGGACATCTACTGTTAGAGAAGGACAAGCTGGCATTCACAAGAAGAGTATCTTAAATGGCAAGTCTTTTGTACAACTATCTGAAAGATAATTTAGAAAAAAATTTAAAACATAAAAAAGAGCGCAGACATAGTAGTATTCAAAAGAAGAGTAGTATATGGTTACAGTCGTAGAAGGAGCAAAATGTTAGAGGCAGATAGTTTGGGAAGGGGAGTATTTAAGGTTGGGAAATAGATGTCTCCTGACTGAAGGGAACAACTATCCCATTTGGAAATCTGTTATAGATGGGAAAAGCCCAGACAGAATCTTTTGGCACTTTTGAATCATCTGGGATGGATGGTTTCAAAAGAGTGTAAACAGAATTCCTATGCACTTAGGTGGTAAGGTTTCTGTGAGCATGAAATTAGTATCTTCCCCTTTGAATCACTTCAGATAGAGACAAAAGAGTTCCCAGATTCAAAAGTTTGGTAAATAGCAAAGGCTAAAGGATACCACCAATCAATTCAACACAAAAAGGGTGGCTTTTAAAGTTTGCTGCCAAAGCCTCATATCTTGAGAGAGAGCAACAAAGACAATTCTATTTGAACAAGCCTTGCCCTTCTCAACTCAGTGTTTTAGGGTTTTCCTTTTAACAGAAAAATCCTGCAGATTGGGTGTTTGTAACCTAATAAAAAAAAGAGAGTATAATTATATCCCAGACCTTAATTGGATATATATTGGAGTGGACTAGTGAAAGTGTTGGAGAAAGAAAAAAGAGAAAAACTGAGGAAAGAAAAAATGAGTGCGTGTTTGTATGTTTAATGAAGTGGGGATAGGAAAAGATATGGAGAGAGAGAAGGGGGTGGGGAGACAGAGAGTCCTTCTCAGATATACTAACTATAATGTTTATAATCCAGAGAGGCTGACAGAAAAAGGACAGAAACTAGAAAGTCATAGAAATGTGAGTGATGGGGATGGAGAGATGACTTCAAAGGGGTAGCTGCAGAGAAGGAATCATGGCTCTGGAAAGGGTGAAGCAAAAAATAGCAAGCAAACAGGTTTAGGCTGTGGGTCAGGATAAAATATTTGAAGGCTACATCCTTTCTTTCTGCCCTCATCTTTCATATACTTTTTTCTGTTCTTTCAGAACTGCTAATCACACTTGAATAATTCCCATTATCAGTGAACTAGACCTCTGAGTAATTTCTTTGCATGCTTTCTTTCTTATACCAGTGATCTATGTGCATCACCTACCCACCCTAGCTGTTCTGGAATGCTTAGGCAAATACTCCATTGAGTTGAGTCATACTTGGGAGGTGATTTCAGTTTACATTTTAGTAGGGAAACTAGTTAAGATTTCATGCTCAGGAAATCTGTTCTGATTAGTTTTAGCTTAAAAAAAAACAGATCAACCTGTTTTTCAGGGTTGGCACAGACACAATTTGGCAAACATGTAGGTTTTAGTAGCCATAGTTTTATAATTCTAAAAATAATAAGCGGGAACCATTCAAATCCCTCAAAGGAGTACTTACTCCTTACCAGCAGGGGTGAGGAAGTTTGTGTGTTTTTTTTAATGCAATGGGCCATTTGGGTATTTATAACATCATACATTTGACATAAAAATGATCAGTATTGGCAGACGGTCTTGGTTACCAATAAGAAGCATATGTGATATGACCAGTGTATGTGCCTGTCCCATTATGTACCGAATGATTCTGTATGCCTTATATGGCCCTCAGGCCAAAACACCTCTGCTCCTAGAAATAATACTTTCTTATTTTTCCAGAAATTACTGTCAAAGTACGTATGTTACTTTTAAAAGGATAATGTGTACTATATTATTTATATTCTTTTTATTTTTACTTATTTAGTTATTTTTACTTTTTGATACAGGGTCTTAGATTTATAGTCCAGTCATTCTGCATCATCCTGCTTTCACCTCCTGAGTGCTGGGATTACAGGGGTGAGTTGCCACACCTGAAGATTTTAGTGGCCTTTAAAAAAACAATATAGCCAGACGCTGGTGGCTCATGCCTATAATCCTAGCTACTCAGGAGGCTGAGATCTGAAGATCATGGTTCAAAGCCAGCCCAGGCAGGAAAGGCCGTGAGACTCTTATCTCCATTCAAACGTGAATAAACCATTCAAAAAAATGAAGTGGCACTGTGACTCAAGTGGAAGAACACTAGTCTTGAGCACAGAGGCGCAAGGACAATGCCTAGGCCCTGAGTTCAAGCCCCACAACAAAAAAGTTGAATAATATTCTGGTAAAAGTTAGTGTGTGATCAGTTTAACTGATTCTCTCCTGGAAAATATTGAAGTTTTCTTTCACTTCTTATGAAAACTTCTTTTGAAGTTTTTTTCTTTCTGTTGCTACTTTTCTATCTTTTATCAATGTATTATTTCTAGAATGTCTAGCATGTTTCCTGGCACATAGGAGTTATTCAATGATGTTAATTTTTTAGGTATTAGGATTACTTTCTGTTGTTTATACTTTCTCCTTGTCAGACTTGGCCAACCAAATCATAAATGCTATTTGCAGCTATGCAAAGAGTTGATATTTTTTCAAGTAATTGCTAAATTTTCATGATTAGAATCTGGTTTAGTTGGTAGATCCTCAAATAACTCAGCCTACTTCACTTGTATCAGTGGTTCCATTTTGGTTGATAAAAGATAATACATTTTGGGAAATAGGCAGAGAGAAAGCACAGATTTATGCACTTAAATTATTTAGTGTAGTTATTTTGTAAACATAAAGTTCTAAATCTCAGTACTGCAGGATGCACATTTAATTTCCATACTTGGAAATATAATAAGGAAGAAATTCCAGGAAATTTTATTAAAGGGAAATTTTAGGGTTGAAGGGAAAAATCTTGGCTCTTATGTGGATCTGGCAAACTCTTAGAAACATAAACTAAAATCCATGGTGATGTGAGTTAGAAAATGTGAAGGGGTGAGAGAGAAGAAGAAATGGCATAGCATACTATGCATAAAATGCAGTTGAGATAAATATAGGTGGGGAAGAAAGTGATTAGAAGTGAAGTCATTCCAGTTATGTCATGGATTCCTGAGTTGAGGGATTATTCTGTGCAGCTGTTGAATGGAAAGTTCATTCCTGAGCTCTCATGTTTCACTTATAGGGTAATAAAGTTTTTAGTTTTGAGAGGTGGGGGTGAGTGACATGAGGGTCTTGCCTGGAGAAGCATATTCATCATCTTACTGTTTTGGGCTAAAGTGTACAAATTAAACCCGAAGATCATTTCCTTTAGCTTTTTAATTTTCTTTCTCCTTAACAGTATCATTAAAGCAAGTGGTAACAATTTCTGAGTGCTTTAAAAAAATCTTTACCTAAAGCTATACTATACTTGTCACCTAATGCTACACAGCAAAGATATCTTCCAAAATTTAGAATAATTCTTGTATTTGATTTAAAAACTTTTTTACTCCAGATTAAGAAAAAGATACAAGAATTAACCAACTCATAATAATAAATAGCATGGAAATCCTCCTCTAAGGAAATTCAAGAATCTCATATTCTTTCTTACACAGTATTTAATGAGCCTTAAAGTGAATGTTTTAATATTTGAAATGGGCACAGTCCTATTAATAATTCAGTATGACTTCATGCGTTCATTTTTGGACTTGAATATTGAAATAATTCTATCCGTCCTATCGCTTTATGATGTAGATTTACATTCGACATATCCAGATACTATCGGTTATGAGTGCGAACTCTGGGCACATCGTTTAGAATTGTAGCATACCCAGTTAAGGGTATCAATTTGGAACTCACTTGGAACTCAACTTAGAATAAAGCTCTGCATTCGTATCCATCTCGTTATCACAGCTTTCTCCTTGGTGATAGTCTAATCGAACAAGTCATCTCTTATTGCTCTATTATGAGGGGCTCGGGTACCAATTACTGGTTCCCTAGAATTTGCCCGTAATTGACTTTGTCCCACCATAGGTAACTCCGCAAGTGACAGGCGGCTTCAAGTGTGGTTCTCCCGCCCGTCTATTGGGCTTTGCAGGAAGCCCCGCCTCAGCCACTCATTCCCGCATGGCGATTGGCTCTTCATGAATGAATGGCAGTTCTGTGCTCCGCCCTAGCCGTCCGCTGCGCTGCCTTGGTCGGCGCCGTTTCCAGTTGAGAGATGGCGGCCGCCGCAGGTAGATCGCTCCTGCTGCTTCTCTCCTCACGGGGCGGCGGCGGGGGCGCAGGCGGCTGTGGAGCGCTGACTGTCGGCTGCTTCCCGGGGCTGAGCGTCAGCCGACACCGACAGCAGCAGCAGCACCACCGGACGGTGAGCGAGCGGGTGGACCGGCGGGCAGGCGAGCGAGGCAGCGAGCGCGCCGGGCGGCTCCGGGGAGGGCGGGGCGGCGCCGGCGTGCGGGAGCCGCGGGCGGGCGGGCGTGCGTGCGGGCAGGCCGCCGGGCAGCGGACGAGTTCCCTCAACTCCCCGCGGCGGGCGACGTGGCCAGGCACCGGGGAGCCGCCGTGCCCTTCAGGCGCCTGCGGCGGCGCCCGGGAAGGGCGGGCGGGAGGGTGGAAGCCCAGCGGAGGAGGAGGGGCGATGGCAGGGATGTGCCCGCAGGACTGGGGACACCGGGGCGGGGAAGGGACGGGACTTGAACCCCTCCCGGACCCGCCTCCGCGCTCAGTCCCTCCCTTCTTCCCAAACAGCTCGGCCCCAAATGTTCCCGAACTGACCCCGTGAGAGTTGTCCCCGGCCCTCCTCCTCCGCCGCCGGCTTGGGGTGTCCCTGAGTTGCCGCGCTGGCTGGCTGGTGTGTGACAGGAGAGAGTGGCATTGCCACGCTGTCGGGGACTGTCCCCTGAGAGCAAGCCTGGACCCCCGGCGGGGCTGCTTCCTCGCGCCCCCTTGGCCCTGCGGGGATGAGCAAAAAGGAAAAATCAAACTTTATCCCTATAGTCTCTGACTTCCCGGCGTGTGTGTGCGTGTGTGTGTGTGTGTGTGTGTGTGTGTGCACGCGCGCGCGCGCCGGGGATCAGCTTCCTCGAGATGGATGCTGCATTGCTTCAGGAGGCAAGCTCCAGCCCCTCGAGCTCTTCAAGGCCCTCGGTGGTCTTTTCGGAGGGCTGATGTTACCAGCTTGAACTAGGAAGGGTGCGCAGCTGGCACCGGAGAAGTGACTATGACAAGTTATTCCCAGGCAGAGATTTTGTTGATCGTATTAACCAGTTGTTGCTAGGTTTCATTGGTTGGCAATGAAGGGAGTTTCTGTTTGGACAGCCTTGGGGTGGGTGCAGGGATGATGGGATGATGGTTGGGGCCTGAAGGAGGAGGACAGGTTTTTCTTTTTTCTTTTCTTTTCTTTTTTTTTTTTCAGTTGCAAGATATCAACTTGGCATGGACTTCTTGACCTAACAAGTCAGTAGGTTCCCGTCCTTTGGACTTTGGAGACCCATATGTATTGGTCTCTGGCCAACTCTTGAGAGAATGAGTGTAGGTTTTATATCTTAGGGCCAAGTTGTGTAGTGTGGTAATAAGTAGATCACTGTGGGCAATCTGGTAGGAGAAACTAGTGCTTTCTGCCCTCGGCACACACATCACCTGTCTTGTTCTGATGACAGAGCTTTTAAAAGGAATGGAGGGTTTCAGAGAGGATACTGTGAAGCCTGTGATAACATGCAGGCACAGAGAGATGAAGAGGATGCTTTGCAAATGCAAGATAGTATTGCTATTATTAGTTGTTTGTTCTGGACCCTATCCTCAGCCTTGTGAGAAAATTGTACTTTTTCACATTTGGCATATTGACATATTGCTTTGCTGAAGCTTTTGGGTCACAGCTGAGCTTTTCTATAGTTCAGTTCAGATCTGCATGTTTCATAGCCACCGTTTATGTGTTGTTCTCTTTAAAGCATAAGGCTACCCTAAAGTCTTACAGCATTCCTCTATTCTATTCCCCAACTATTTAAAGACTTCCCAAGTTGTCTCTCTTGAATCGTCTTCTGATTTCAGGTTTTTGTTTTTTTTTAAATAGTGTTTGGGTGTGGAATTTATGTAGCACTGAAACATTTGTGTTCCATGTATTTTCCACTCTGCATTTGTGAGTGTCTTTCTTATGGGGATACTTCATGCAAGTGTTCTTCTGTGCTCTTCTAGGGTGGTAAAAGTGCTGTGTTGAATTTGTAACTGAAAACAATTAAAATGTTATTTCTGAAGGGCAGAAGTGTTGTCATGGGAATAGTGACTTGAAAATGAACTTAGCATTCTAAGCTTCTGAAAAAAGTTGAATTACTTAAAATATGTAAATTTTTAATTTTTAATTGATCTAAGGCTATTATATAGATGTCTCCATCTGATATTCTATGATTCTTCACATAATGCTCAGTTTGAAAGATATCTTTAGAAATTTTACTCTTGATATTTCATGTCTGAAATTGAGGCCCAGGAAGGGGAGAGAGGTGACTGTATGTAAGTTTAGGGTTCTCGTGCTTCTCAAATATTATGAACCCCACCTTTTTATTTTTTAATTGTAAACTGCAGTCGCTCCTTTACACTTGTCTTTTCCCTTATAAAAATCAACTAATTGTCTGTCTGTATTTCAGAACTCTAGATTGAGATTCTGTAAGGAGATGTGATTTGAGGTGCACATGTTGGGTGCATCTGGAACAAACAACTTGCCAAAAAGAATAGATGTTCTTCTAAAGGTCTAGGAAAGGCACTAGCATTGCATCTTGCATTGGGGACATCCTGTGTATGTGCGGCAGATGGCAGTCTGCCTTGGACTGACTCACTAGTCCAACTTTTGTTCAGCTGTAGTAGGTTTGACAAATTAAAGTGCTGCTTAATGTTTACTCCAGTCATATTTTATTGTTGTTGTTATTTTTGTTTGTTTGTTGCAGTGCAGCCCAGGCTGATCAGGAACTCAGGTCTTCTACCTCCCAAGTGTTTGGATTGCAGGTGTGTGACACCACCCTTGGCTAAGAGTTATCTTTTTGTTGAAATATATCAGTTTCAAGTTTGGAGATTAAGCACAAAGCAGTATAGTAATTCAGACAAATGGTAATTATGCAGTTGTGCAGTTCCAGTTATGAATATAACTTCCCTCCTTAACATCTTTCACATCTTTTTTTTTGGCTGACCTCTAACTTCTGGGTTCAAGAGATCCTTCTGCCCTCCCACTTCAGCCTCTTGAGTAGCTGAAACTACTAGTGTGCACCAGTGCACCTGGCTATAAAACAGCTGTCAATTGGATAAGAGTAAATGTGCAAGTGCTTTTTCAGTATCTTTAGTACCATATCATATAATGTTTCCTTCTCTGTGTAATGAACCAGCTACACTTTCTAGCTTGAGACTGTAATTAAAACTAATGTAAAATATTTGTGGCCTGCCTTTCTGTATGTGTAGTGTAGGTAGCCACTATTAACAAGGATGATTCTTTCAGGAGAAACTGGCTTTCCTTGTGGGCTATGTAATTCCTTTGCTAAATCAAACTGTCTCATCTTGATTATGACAGCCTGAATGTTGGCCATTTCCTCGTGGTCAACGGCTGTGCTGAATTACTAAATCTCACTTAAGTGTGTCATTGTGCTATTAAGTTTTGTGGCTCTTTTTCCTTACACATTGCATTTCCTTGAAAGGAGTGATAATGTTTCAGCTTAACCTGAAAATTTTAACGTAAGTTAATATTTTAAGCCTCAATTAAAAAAATTTTTAGTGGACAGAATCTCATTGTTTAGCCTAGACTGGACTGGAATTCACCATTCTTCTACTACCTCAGTCTTCCTAATGCTGGGATTACAGGCTGGGTTCTAGGCCTTGTTCTTTTTTTTTTTTTTTTTGCCAGACCTGGGGCTTGAACTCAGAGCCTGGGCACTGTCCCTGAGCTTCTTTTGCTCAAGACTCTACACTTGAGCCACAGTGCTACTTCTGGCACATAAACTTTCTTTTTATGTAGTACTGAGGAATTGAACCCAGGGCTTCATGCATGCTAGGTAAGCACTCTCCCACTGAGCCGCATTCCCAGCCCTAGGCCTTGTTCTTTAATTTACCTTTGCATAGTCTGGCTTGTTTTTCCTTCCCTAGATTTCTTCCAGCACAAGTACTCTATTGTACTCAGTTCAGTCTTTATTCTGCCCCAGAATGTCATACACATATGTATATATTAAACTTCTGTGCAGTGTTGTAGCTGAATTTCAGCCTTAATCATGTCTAATTACACCTTTAATGTCTAAGGTGTATCTCTAAGTGTAGAGATTCTGTCCTATCAAATATCCTTACTTCATAGACCTAATTGAAGCTAAGGGAAGTAACTTGTTATGTTTGTGACAAATAATAGGCCTGGGATTAAAATTTCTTTAAGTGGAAGTGGGTCCAAGAAGGCATGATTTGTTATCTTCAGGACACAGGACAATGACTGGGCATGTATTCTAAACCTTATTTGAGGGCATCTTATCTTATTGGGGAAATAAAGATTTAGGTGTTCTCCCCTTCTCCCCTTCTTTAATAGCTTGTTGCTCAGGCAGACAAATTTGAGTAATCATTTTAAGTTTGATATCTACCAGTGATACCCTTTGTTTACAGTTTATCTCTTTATTGATGTAGAGAGTTGTACCACCATCAATGTGGATTGATGTAAAGAATTGGCACTATTAGATTAGCTCTATAATGGTTACTAGCCTTCTCTCCGTAGTCATCAAGTGTATGATAATTACCCAGATTACTATCAATATATGCTTGAATCAGAATCAAAATCTGTTGTTCTATTCTAATAATAGGATTTTGAGGATCCTGGATAAATATGTTTAGAATAGAGCTCTCTTGTTGTTAAGGAAATAGTAATCCTTTTATTCATAACAAAATCTTGCTGATTTTCAAATCCATAAAGTATTTTAGTGAAGGAACTTGTATCTACCTAACAAATTCTGATTATTTGAACTTTCCTAAGTCCCCAGGGACTCTATGCTTTATGCGAGTTCTAAGACCCAAGAGGAAATCTGAAGAGAAAATGCAGCACTAAGAGCTGGATAGTCAGGTGTCCTGTTAGAGATCAAGGTGCTTCATTGACACCATTATCTGAATATCCACCAGGATGTTTCTGTGGTTTTTGTTTTTATTTTAGTTTTTACAGCCTGGCTTTGTATTCCACTAAATTTTCTTAAAAATTACAGCTTGTTTTTCTGTGATTAAGATCAAAATCTCTTTTTAATATTTCAGGCTATCTTCTTAACATAAAGTGTCAGCTTAATTTTTTTTTTCTTAATTTGACTGATTAATGCCAAACGAGGGGTCATGGATATATTGGAATTACCACAATACCATGTTAATAGGAAAGCT